CTTTGTAAAAACTTCAATTGAATTTCAATAAAGTTAAAGGCATAGCCTCACTGTTAATATTTAAAAAAAAAAAAAAATTTTAAAAAATAAATTCTATTACAATAGCTAAACTCTTTTATAATATTGCTATTATATATAATACTTATATTTTACAATTAAATATTCTTTTAGGAATTTTTTTATTTAAATTTATACATATATTTAAACTTGTTTTACAAAATTTTATATTTAATTATTTGATCTTTCAAGATTACAAAACAAAACCTATTCGTTTTTAGCTTATCTTAAACTATTAATCTTGTCTATAAAAATCTAAAAGCTTAACTACTAAGCTATAAAATCAAACTTAAAATATCTAACTGTATTAATATATTTATTGAATTTTATAGATTTGTTTTTTTTAAAAAAAGCTTTTTGTTTTAGTATTTTTTAAATAAATATAATTAACATCTTTAAAAGTATATAAAAAATTATAATTAAATTTATATAAATATATTAAATATAGTTTTTTGTAGAAATAGAATTTATATTATAATTATTAAATTTAAATATACAGTATCTAATATATTTTTGTAAAAAATAAATTTGTATTAATATTATTAAATATAGATATATTAAATATGTAAGATAAGTTGGTAGATTGGTTTAGGTCACAGATAAACTAGTCTGAGCTTCTACTCTTTTTATAATATTTTTAAAAATAAATTTATGCTTTATGTAAAAATTTCAAATAAATATTCAATAAAGATAGAGGCATGACCTTACCATTAATATTAAAAAAAAAGATAAGTTGATAGAAATTAAGCAAATTGATTTTATTAAATTTTTTTAAAAACTTTAAATGCTAATAACTTAATGAAAACTTGATCAAATTTAATAATTTTTTTTTAATAAATTCCATAAGTTTGTAAAATTTATTTAAAAAATTTTTATTAAATTTGATAAATTGTTGTAAGTTAATATTATTCAAAGTTTTAAAAAAATTTACTTAAAAATTTTTATTAATTCAACCTTATATTATTGTAACAATAGAAATTATATTCTTATTGTTTTGTAAAAAATTTGATTTAGAATAATGAATTGCATGAAATGCAAAAAATCTTGAATTAAATTTAATTTCATAATTATCAGAATTACTATATAATTCAAGAAAATTGATTTGTTTGATACTAAAGAATTATAAAATTTAATTGGAAAAGTATAAGATACTTCTTTAATATGGGTTTTTTTGTTAAAAATATATAACTGTTACAATTACAAGACTTTTGAAAGTTAAAATTAACAAAAAAATATTTTTAGCATGTTCCAGTATAATTATTTTAGAATAGAGTTGCGAAATAGTGAAATCTGCTTTGTAGATCAGGTTAAGGTGAAATCCACGGTTTATTGTTTTTTATTATATAAAAGTGGATTTCACTATTTCGCAACTTAGGTCGTATAATTTTTAACCATTAAAAATATTATATATAATGTATATTCACTAGATTTTTAAAAAAATGGTTTAAAAATATAAGAAATCAGAAATCGAGCTTTTTTCTCTCTAATAGTAAGGTTGTAGTGTGGCGTGTGTATATAGTTTGATGATATTTTTGTTTTAAGAGAATTAATGAAAGTATTAATTGTAGGGTCGGTGTATTCTGACAACTTTAGAGCGACCACCTCCGCCAAATTCAAATAGTAAATTATAGCGTCGTTCTAAGTAGTCTAAAGATCGTTTCATAAGGTTATAATGTCCATTCATTGTCTAGAGGTAGGGGTTGGTATGAACTTATGTCTATAATTTAGGATTCGAAATTCTAGCGTCGAGATTTGGACCTTCCACGGGTTGTAGAATTGCGGCGAGATGTATTGTTTTGTGGTGTGAAACAGCCGTGCGAAGATATGTCACATTGATTGGGAGGTCCTTGAAGTTGTTGTTTGGTTCTGTTTTTGCCACATGGCAGTCGCGGCTTTTTGAAAATGTGAGTTTTTATTTCGGCATGGTTTCGGTGTTTTCTTGCTACTACTTTTTTTATTTTTGCTATAATTGTTATTATTGTTATTTTTTTTGATTTGGTTTTGGAATTGGGATTGGGATCGGGATCGGGATTGAGATCGGGATGTGGTTTTTTTTTTTAGTTTTTCTTTCCAGGTCCACGGTCAAAAAAACTCCGAGTTGTACTTTAATTCTTTCGTTTAGCACTTCACTTAGCGTTGTATCTACCGGTTGTTTGCTTCATTTCATTTTATTTTATTTTGTCCGATTATTTCTTGTTTTTTGAGGACGTTAAGAACTAGTAGTCCTTCTGCATACAAATCTTTGAACATATCTCTCCGCTATCTTCGATTTGGAAGATATGAAAAGGAAAATTGTTTGACATACTAAGCACTCTTCTTTGTGTTCAATAGAAGATAAATGACTAATCATAATTGATTATTTGCGTTTTGACCTCCGCAGATCATGATATTATGTAAAATTAGGCGATTTTTCGAATAATCGATAGACAATTTTAGAATCTCTAAAATTTCCCACCAACGTTATCACGAAAATCGTTGGGTTTGCAAACCGCTATCAATTATAGTTATGTTGAAATCTCTGAATAATGTCTCTAATCTGATCAAATCTATAAATTGCGTTCAATTTCACGTAGTTTATAAAGTATTAAGTTTATCTAGGTTCGGTTTGGATGGGTACCTCACAATGCTCTATGGCATCGGATGGGCCCAAATTTTAGACGATATAAATCATATTATATTAATTATAAAAAAAATTCAATATGTTTGAGAGTTGAATGTATAATTCGTTTTTAATAATGCATGAATATCCAGACACTAATGATAAAATAAAATCCCCGAGCATGCAACGTTTTTAAATTGCCACATGAAACGCTTTAACTTGGAAAATCATAGCCGAATGCTATTAACAAATTTTCCGTTTCTAACCCAAGAGAACTTGTTCGAATATTAATTAGTTAACAGACTCAGGCTCGAACCATTGGTTTGTTCCGGGTCTTTGGATCGGTTCCGCGAAACACTGCTGATTTACTGTAACACAATCCAAAAAAAGGGAGCTATTTCACCAAAACCAATAATTTCAATTATCAGATCAACTTTTTAAAATAACCCAATGGATTCTGATATTGCGCGTAAAACTTTTGAGTTTTCTAATAATATAGTAACGGTAGATCCGACCCAGGATCTTATTTACCGATACGACACTGAAGAGCAATCACAAGTAAATCAGGAGAAACCGTGGACGAAAGAGTAGGTTTATTATCATTATTATCACTTAGTTCATGAGTTAAATGCACTAGAGGAGAGAAACGAATGGTGAAGATTTCGGAGTGTCCAGAAAAAAATAATGTAGAATTTCAGAATTAGCATTCAGTTAGTTCGTTATGCACTCATAAATTAATCTTTTACAACAATGTATAGTGTTCATTATTTCACCAAAGTTAAAATTTCCGCAGTTGCTCTTATAAAAATGGTGCGGGTCGAATCTTTTTGCAAATAACAATATTCTTATTGTTTTCTACTAATTATGATTGATTGATTGATTTTCGCTTTCTAGGTTATGCACGCCCGTTCTGGTGGAAGCATTGAAGTAATGGGCCTTATGCAAGGAAAAATCGATGGTAACACTATGATTATTATGGATGCGTTTGCTTTACCGGTTGAAGGGACCGAAACAAGAGTGAATGCACAAGCAGAGGCATATGAATATATGGTTCAATATTTGACAACTATAAGACAAGTCTGTACTAATTAAATCTAAATTATCAACTATTATATTTTGAATCTTTTGGAATCCTTGTTAATTTATTATTTTGTTTTTATATTAGGTTGGAAGACTTGAAAACATAGTAGGGTGGTATCATAGTCATCCAGGTTATGGATGTTGGCTATCCGGTATTGATGTAAACACACAAATGACGAATCAACAATATCAGGACCCTTTTGTCGCCGTTGTTGTAAGCTGAAAAACCAAAATAATCTTTATTGACATTAATTTTAAATTACAATGTTTAATTCAGTTGTATCCATTAAATTATGTAGATTGACCCTAATCGAACAGTGTCTGCGGGTAAAGTGGAAATTGGCGCTTTTAGAACTTATCCTGCTGTAAGTTATACGAATAAAATTTTGAATGATAGATTTAAATTATTAAACGTTCGATTTATTAACGTTCTATTTTTAGGGTTATAAAACTCCAGATGATGGTCCCTCTGAATACCAAACTATTCCACTTAGTAAAATTGAAGATTTTGGTGTTCATTGTAAACAGTATGTTATGGCATAACTTTAATATATGTATATTTTAATAAGTTAATTCGTTATGTATTAAAGTTCTTTACAATCTACCTAGATATTATCAACTTGAAATATCACATTTCAAGTCTACTCTCGATACACATTTGTTAGAATTACTTTGGCATAAGTATTGGGTAAACACATTATCGCAGTCTTCCTTAATTACGGTATATATTAAATATATGAACAAATTATTTGTAAATGATTAAAATATTGTTATATTTCACTAATTGAGTTTATTTTTTATTATCAAGAATCGCGATTATTCGGCTGAACAAATTGCAGATCTTGTAGAAAAACTAGATCAGGCCGAAACACAATTGCAGCAAAGTGGTAGAGTATCCAGTTTTCCTGGTGGTATGGGGGGAAGTCGTGGTAATGTTGCCTCATCACAAACTGTTGGAGGTTCGTCTGCAGGTGGTGCAACAGCAACAGCACCTCCACCTGAAAAGAAAAGAGTGGAAGAAAGTCCACTCAGTAAAGTTACAAAGGATAGGTATATATAGTAAATTTAGTCTTATACTTTTTTAACTGACACAGTAATTAATGTAATATATTTTTTTGTTCAATTTAGCACAAAAATTACTGTTGAAGCAGCACATGGTTTGATTTCTCAAGTCCTTAAAAATGTTCTGTTTAATAAACCGCAACCTATTGTTGAACAAAATAAAACAGAAGTAGAGATTCTTCCCGATGCTTGATTATGTTGCGGTACCTCAAATGAATAAAAATTATATAATAGTTGTAATTTTTAGAAGATTGTGCGAGAAATTCTAATTATTATTACATTATTAATTTTTTAAGTGCGTGTGAAATCTAAAATAACCGAAATAAAACTTTTATTTGATAGATATGATATCTAAATTTTTTAATTAATCGAAAATTACCTATTATTTTGCAACGTTCATTTCTAATCTTGTAATGAAGAGTTCATATTTTTGACTATACTCCAAATTATAATCATCCTCTTCGTCAGAGTGCATTATTTCCGAATTATCTGGATCGGTGCCTTCTGCATTGTCTTCTCTTTCAACATACTCTTTCATTTTTCCTTTATCAATAGCTCTTGATTCACCATCATCTATATCCTCTTCAGCCGCCAATCTTCTACTTTTTCTCTTTGGTTTTTTCTCCTTTCGAAAATCATTATCTCTGAAAGGTCTGATCCAAATGTCAATTAAATTTAGCCCTTCCCTCAATGATACAACGTAAGTGTGTGATGTCATTGCTACGCTATTAGGCTCTGAAGTCCTATAAGGCTTTACCCGTCTTTGACCATTATGCAGAACATTCATACGCACATGTTTTTGTGTTGGTATTGGAATGATCGTGACGCTTTTAACATTCGCATTAACAGTCAAGGATTGTGATGTATACTCCGTGTCAAGTGATAACGCCAAAGAACGATCATTAGATTCTACAGTTATTACACGAAGTAATTGCTTTTCTAATAGATCAAAATCAGTTAGAACGTTTAAGTGAGATAAAAGAATTGTTTTAGAATCGAAAATAATAAAAATTCTATAAAGGTAATACCATTATTTATAACGGACGAAGAATTTATATCAGAATTATTAAAAACACTTTCTTCATTATTTACCATTTCAACGGACTCATCACGACTGAAAGCCTGTTCTTCATTATCTGTTTCTACAGCATTATCACCCTCGCTGTCAGAAGTGTCGCCAGTGATTGTTGCTGGCGTTTGAGTTTCTTCTTCCTCAATTTTTTTTGCTTGTTGAGAAGTATAGATTATTTCAGTTTTATTACTATTTCTTGAGGATCTTTTAAGAAGTTTTCCCATTATTTAAATTAGCATGTTTTAGCCGACTCACTATTGTTAAGTGTGTCCATATGAGCGTTCGGATAGATTATCGAGATATCTCGTGATTTAAGACTAATCAATACATTACCTTGAAGTTGCTATGCATATAGCACTCCGTCAAATATTTGAGCAAAATATTTCTGGCACCATTTACGTCCCGATCCATTTCCACCTCGCACTTAAACACCTTCGATCCTCCGAGGTCATTTTTCAACGTCTTTGAGGTGTATTCTTCAGTGCAATCAATAATTTTACAATATATGAATTCTCTTGCTTTATGTTGTAAGAACATTCTAAATCTGAAGCACACCACGTCAACATCATTTGAGCAGTCTTTTATCTGATTTTCTCTTGTTCTTCAAAATCATTTTCGAATATTCGAACTTGGGTAACAAAATAATCTCGTAGTTCGCGCACAGTCATCTGGCCAGTTGATGACACTCATCGATCAAATTATGGATTCATTGTATGATTCGTAGTATCTTTTATCTTAATTGAGACCTTTTTTTCTTGTTCGGTTTTCCCAAAGCAAGGTTCTTGCCACTTTGTAATCTATTATTTCTTAGATAATTTGTCAATATCACCGTTATATCTTTTCTTGAATATCATCTTGGATATTGATGATGTTCAAAGAAACAGATACACAGAGGTAGAATGAGCTGACTTATTCATAGTTATATTTACTGTATTATTGTTTTATGACGTTTTTTCTAATATGATTATTCTATTCTGTTTCTATTCTAATCTCTTGCAAGTATCAAAATCATTTAAGATCAGTTCTTTTTTGATCTGTAGTTTATTTTAAAATTTTTTATTTATTTTGTAAGCATTTTTCAATTTTCTAATTACATATGATCTTATTTTTCGATGTATTGTATTTAAAATAATCACTTTATATAAAGTAATCATTATATATATATATAAAGTAGTTATTTTGAATATAAAGTAGTTATTTTAGATAAGTAATTACTTTGAATATTTTTTTTTTTTGCTTTTGCTAAGGCCATTAGTTATTGGCGGCTACTGCCTTTATTGTGAATTCAATTGTGGTTACATAACTTGTACAAGGTTACTTCTATACTACATTAGCAGATAATGTATAAATTTCTGTACACCTAATTAGATGTCATCTAATTTAACTCTGACCTTTCTGTCTGTATATCTGTCAAGTTGTTACATATTTCAGAGTATGTTACTTGACTGTAGGGTTTCAGAGGGTCTCTTTGCTAACTAACTACTTATATTTAATCTTTGTTAACAGGGTTCATTCATATAAAGTTCATACAGAACTCAGTACTGATTTTACAACATATTTTTAGTACTTGTAGTATATCTTTGTTTTTGAACTTAGATTTCTAATTCAGATAGTTTGGTAGGATTATGACCTGTTCCTGATACTTCAGAATCTGTTCTTCAAGGTTTTTTTCTTTAATTTGAGACTTCTAACAGCCTGATTGGTAATATCTTTCATCTGAGATTTTTGTTTGTCTAATTTCTTTCACATTGGTATTTATTTCTTAGATTTAGTTTTTATAGTAGTACTGTTAAAGATTTGTATTACCTTTTTACTTGGGTCTTCTTAAGTGGATTCTGATTTCTCAATTTATAAGTTTATATAACCATGAAGACTTATCTTATATTTGCACTTTCTAATACCAGTTTGCATTTCTTTATATAATTTCAATATTATGCAAATGTCTCATGACCTGTCAGTTATGCTGATATGATTGTGTTACAGGTATCTTATCTTAATTGATTAACAGAATACTATTGTCATAATACTGTCTATATATTACATAAGTGATTATTCAAATTTTCATCATTAGTAAGATTTGAACTTACTATCTATTATTTGAAAAATTGATAACTTATCTATTTTACTAAGTTGTTACACTTCATTATTTTGAATATTTAAAGTAACTATTTTAAATATTTAAAGTAATTATTTTAGATATTTAAAATAATTATTTTAGATATTTAAAATAATTATTTTAAACATTTAAAGTAATTATTTTATATAGTATTTTAAATATATAATAGTTAATATTTTAATATTTTGGTATTGATATTTTTGTTTATTTTTATATTTTTCTTTTTTTAGTATATTTTTATTTTTTTTATTTATTGTCATAAATTATGATGAAAATTTTATTAGTCAAATTTTGCAGATTACCTACTCACTCTATAGGATTAAAGTATGATTTCCCAAAAACTACTTATCTTAAAGTTTATTTACCTGATATCATATGAGATAAAAATTTACTAATAAAATATATCTATATCTAACTAAATACTAAATTGTTATCCTATATGATATTGGGTAAATGAATTGTCGAGTAAATAGTTTTTAGAGAATTAAGTGACAACCCTCTATAAAATATTAACAGTACTTGTTCTTATAGAATTTACCTAGATTCTAGTACTTACTTTATAGCATATCTCTAATACTTTTAATATATTCCTATTTTTTCTTCAAACTCACTTTAGATAGTCTAGTAGGACTATAACCAATCTATTGATATATCCAATCAGTCTGATATTCTTTTCCTTTAGTCCTTCTGATTGAACTTCTGGCAGCCTAGTTAATAGTACTTTTCATTTAGAAGTTTTTGCCTATTTGAATACTTTATATTAGTATCTGTTTCCTAGATCTAGCCTTTATAGTAATATTGTCAAGATCTGTATTACCTCTCTACTTGGGTCTTTTCAAATGGACTTTTTGTTTTTTAATTTTTATAGATTTACATGACTATAAGGACTTATTTTGGATTTGCATCATCTAATGCCAGTTTGCATTCCTTTATATAATCAGTTATATAGATGCTTTATAACTTGTCAGTTATGCTAATGTGATCATAATTACAGATATCTTAACTTAATTATTAGAAATAGTTGATATAATATAAATATTATATAGATGATTATTCAAATTTTCACTATCTATAAGTTTTGAACTCACAACCTACTACTTGGAGAATTAACAACTTATTCATTTCACTAAGTTATCATACCTTTATGTTTAATTAAATCTTTTTTATTTAAAAAGATTCTTAAATATCTGATTATTTTATTATATTTATAAAATGTAATTGGTTAATTATTAAAGTTAAGTAGTAAAATATTTAAAGAAATATTATAAAGTGCTTTTTTGTTAGATAAAATATAAATAAAATCAAATTTAAATAGGTTAACTTGAATATTGTTTAGTTGATAAAAGTCTAATATCTTATTTAAAATATTTTAAAAATTATTTCTAAATTTATAATGCAAAACTGTATTATCTATAAAAACAAAAAATAATATTGTTAAAGAAATTGGTGATATTTAAAAGATTATTTTTAAAGAAGATTGTAATAAGATTTTAAGAAGTTTTAAATTATATTTAGAGTTATATAACTAAGAATTAGGTCATAATAGATTTTTCAAAATAATAAAAAGTAGATTTCTTCTTATTTAATATTTGAGTATAATATAATTAGGTCTATAAGATCATAGACTATGATTGCTCTAGCTTTTTTGTCTTAATAAAGAAATTTAATAAAATTTAGACTAAGTTATAAAATGCTTATACATTTGCATGCATCTAGTAATTATTTAATATAAATTTTGTCAAAGGTTTTGAATATATTTTAAAAAAATATTTATATCTTTTTGTTATTAATTTTGTAATGTTTAATCATGCTAAGTAATATTTGAATAAAAATATAAGTTGAACTATTTTTAGTTGCTATAAAGTTTAGATTGTTTAGAAGTTTATATTGGGTAATAATTTGGTTAAGATAAGTTGTAAAGATTTTAGTAAAAAATTTTTAATAGATTCAATTAGTAAAATAGATTTAATTTTGTTATATATAAAATCTCAAGATAATTTTTTAAAAATTAAAATAATATTAAATGTTTTCTATATTGTTGGTATTTGTTGTAATGTAAGACATTTAATTAGAAAAAAGCAAATAATATTTTAAGCTTTGGGATTTAAACATTTTAAGTATTTATAGTTTGTTTTAAATATATTAGCAGCTTTTTAGTTCAGAAGATCATATATAACTTAGTTGCATTTTTTTGAAGTAATTTTTAAGAATAAGTTGATAAAGTATGATTTATTTTCTAAATAAAATTTGTAAATTTCATAAAAGTTAGAGTTTTCTTTAATTAGTATATAAAATAGTTTTTAAAATAGTCTTGAAAATAAGATTTTAAAGCTTATTTAATTTTTATTAATTGAGTAGTAAGGATATTGTTAGATAGAAGATTATTTAAATTTATATTATTATTATATTTTTTTAGAACATTGTAAAAAAAAATTTTAGAATTTTAAAAAAAGTTATTATTTCTTTCTTCTAGTTTGTTTTGAATTTTTTTAAGAGCATTTTCTTATTTTTTTTAGAAATTTGTATTTTAAGAGTTTTGATTTTAATAATATAAAGCTTTAAGAATTAATAAAGTTAGGATTAATGTTAGTTAATATTGAATAAGAAAATGATAATGTAGTATTATAAAAATATTTATTAATATATGAGTTATAAGTTTGTAAAAAATTAGATTTGTTTAGATTTGTTTTGAGTAAAATAGCTTGTTAAATTGTTTATATAATAGTATAAAAATAGGTAGCTATTGTTCATTATAGAATAGGTTTATTTTAATTTTTTAAATGGAATATATTTCTGGACTGCTTTAGTTAGAGCTTTGTTAATTTGATTCTAAGTATTGTTAAGTTCTGATTTATGAATAATATTATTAATAGAAGTAAGAAGTTGTTAAAGGTTTTGTTTAAAATAGTTTTAATAGTTTTTAATTTGTTTCTTTATAATTAATTTTTATTAGTATATAATTCTTAGTTAAAGAAATTGTGTATTAATTTTAGGAAGGTTAATAATAAGTTTGAGTAAAACTATTGATTGTCAGTTAAAATAAATAGATTAGATAAAATATCAGTATTATATAAAAATGTAATATAAATATTAGTTTATATTTAATCA